AAACTGAATGTGAGATTTCAAACCTATCTCGACCTTTGGGGAACGATTTTGGTGCTTCAGTTTATTTCTGCTAAAATAAAAAGTAGGGCAAGTTTAGATGGAAATTTTTGTATATCTTCCTAAGATAAACCATCTTTTCCTTTGCCTGCTGGATGCCCCTCTGCCTTACCCTTCAACCACCATATAATTAATTTCAATTTCCTATATTGTGTTCTTAGCAAGGCTCTTTCAAAATAAAAGGAGCATCAGGGTTGTTGCACAAAATATGCTGAGGTCAAACCAAAGAGAGTTGGTTTACATTTTGCACTATTCAGTGAGTAGTCCAGAAAAAAGAGTTGTTGGTTTTAGTCATGTTCTTCGTGCCTTGGAATAGCAGCCTCATGGCCTCACTGTGTGGCTACCTGTACTTCAAGTGAGATATCCCAAGTCAAGATATGGATATGCATATCCAAAAGATCAGACTAAGGCCCTGAGAGATTGTATAACCAAAAGATTGCTTCTACTTGCAAGACGAAACCCAGAAGTTTTGAAAGAAATGGCTAGATTTTAAAGGCAATCTGTAATGGCTGAATCTTTTATTTTTGCCTTTTGAATCATACAGCAATTTGTGAGAGTCAAACATTTGATAGCTGATTGAAAATAAATGAAATGTGAGCGCATTTCAGTGGAAGTAGGCCAGTTGCTAACATTCTCTTCTATTTCTTAAAGTTAAATTTCACTATTTAATTGGATAAAAATTCAGAGCCATATTTGCCATAAGGGGGAATTTCTAAATAAGTTCATGTTATCAGAGGGGAAATGGCCATTCTGTCATTTCCTATGAGTTATATTTGCAGCTAACCCTGAGAACTTGACATTCAGGTACCATGTCTTTGAGAACATGGTTCTTGGATCAGTGTGCAGCTTCCACAGCATTGCGCCAGGCTTCTGCTACAGCCAGGCATGTTTTCTGTGGCTGAATTAGGCCTGGAGAATGTTGCATCTTCAAACCTGCTTCCCAGTGTGCATTTGTAGAGCATAAGCCATCATCCCTCTGTAGACTCAGCAGTTTCTACAAGGGATGGAAGAATCTACCTTAAGTGTCATAAAATGTTGGACGGGTAGGGAGAAAATAGTACAAGAAAACAAGTGATGAGCTTGTACTATGTAGCTTTATATGGAAGCTTTCTACTGTTATGCCTATATACCTCATTACATTTTTCTGACTACTTTAGAACAAGTATTAATTTTAGTTATTTAGTATAGTCACCAAGTTCCTTAATGTGGAAAACTTCATTTCAGGTTTCTTTGGTTTCTTGTTTTTTTTTTAAATCATTGTAGTATCACAGCTATGGCAATTTAAAGAAAGTAAGTTATACTTTGTATTTATCATTAGTCACCTGCTTTTAAACTAGTTACATGCTTTTAAATAAATTTGGAAGTCATTTTGGTATGGCTATGATAAAATGTATCACAAATTACTCTCTATCAGAGTATGAATGCCAAAGTGTTGAATTTAATTAGAAGTGTTTAGATTGTGAAGATAGTATCATATCCATGTACAGAATTTTAAATGCTTAAGTAGTTTTCTAGGATATAAATTTTAAAATTTAAAAATACAGGAGTAAAATTCTGTATGTTTCCAGTGACTAACATTTATCAGGCAGTGTATCTTAATTGGTAAGTTGCTGCAACTTAATAAGAACACAGTCTAAGTTTTAATTTATAAATGTAGATAAATTCACAACTTTAAAATGTTTGTATAATTGATACAGTATTTTTATAACTTCATAGGATAAAGTGAATGTAGTTTCTTATGATAAAAATGGGGCCTAGGGAGACTACACTATGAATAAGCCTGACTCTCCAACTATCAAGATTAGCTTTATGTCAATTTCCACAGAAAAGGAGCCTTCCACAAAGGACTTTTTAGGGACAAGAACACTAGCCTGCCAACTATTTTTTAAGCTTTGGTGCATCAAGTCTCTGAACATTCCTTAAGGAGTTTTCCAGAGCATAAGATTGATGAGTTAATACTTATACTCAGACAAACTCCTGGATAACAGTGAAGCAATTCTTCATGTAAAATGGGTTTTGCTCATTTGAGAACAGAATTTGTTGTTATTGTTTAGTCCTTGTCTGTTTCCAAAAGACATCCTATGCTTCATAATGCCAGGCAGACAGAAGTAAACTAGCTCACACACTGACCCTCTCTGCTTTACCATGTACATAACCTCCACACACATTTATAAAATTGAAATTATTTATATTCAAACATATATTAACCACATTCACAAAAGTTCACAATCTAAAGACAATACCAACAACAAAGATACAGCCAGAGGTCAATATTTGGTAAACAGCAGAACTGTCATTCAGATTAATGGCTACCATTACTTGTGCTGTGAAGGATTTGCTTTAAATAAGTAAATTGTATTTAAATATAAGACTCTTGTATAATATATGACAGAGAATTATAATGCAAAAAATTGAACATTTCACAACTGTATTAACAGTGGTAAAATAAGAAGTGAAGGGTGAGTATATTTTCTAAAGTTTTCAAATGGAAAAGTATATGTGTATTTTTGTGTATATACATGTATGCTTATTACTTTCTTCCTTCAGATTTCTTTATTGAATGTCTGCCAATATTTTAGAGAAACATTTTGGAAACATGCTTTTATCACTAAAATATCATTAATTAAATAATTTTTATTCATTAAGAAAATGCATTTTCTAATAAAATTAAATCTTCCGTAAAGGCCACAACTGAGTTGTGTATCAAAATGAAGAGATCAAATTATCTAAACACTATAATTCTCTCTATAAGAGTAATAACAAAATGCATTCACTCATTCATTTATTCATCTTTCATAAATTCAGCCTATTTAGTATCTATTCTATGCTTGGATCTTTTGGTGTATATATATGTGTGTATGTGTGTATATTCTAATATATATGTGTGTATATGTACATAATTATACAATTTATGTATATATATAAAATACACATATATATTTATGAGAATATTTGGTCAAAGTAAACAAGTATTATGGACAAAATGTTATATAAAATTTAACATGGAGAAATCATAATAAAGAAAAGCTTCATGGAGAGGGGATCATGACTGGGCTCAGAATAAATTCTTCAGCTTGGATTGGCCAAGAGGAAGAAGAAACTTTAAGCTTTTGATAACTAACCTCAAAATAATTTGGTTTCTTATTGGTTTTATTTATACAGTGGATATTATTGCTGCCACTCATGAAACATTATAGTGTCCAACCTATAAATCAGTAAAACTGAAAGAGAAGAGTTATTTAGTATTTTCTTGGATTTACCAGAAGCTACTCCAATTCTATTCAGCAGTAGCTTTCCTGGGATTTTCTTACGAAAATAAAGACATTCTGGCTGTAAGAAGCAGAAAAATTCTAAGGGAAGAAAATATGTCTTGACCTTTCACCTCTACAAAAAGTAGAGGGTTTTAATGGTAAAACTTTTTTACTATAATGATCCTAAGAACCATCAGCCATAATTGATGGCTTATTCTCTCCTTAGCATACTTTGGACATGGAGATATTTTATTATAGAATTATATCTTGACTTAGGGTAACTTTCATAATATATTTAACTGGACATAGTTAACCTCATCCTCCGAGTAATACCACCAAACGTATCACCTGGATATTCCTCTTCAGTGTTTACATTATAAAGTATTAAACTAACATTTGCATGGTGATTTCAAAAAGCTAAGACTCTTGAGTCAGATATACTCCAATATAACCTGTGTTTAGATAGTCATTCAGGTAGTTTTAAGCAGCATGTTTAACTCTTTCAGAGGGCTAGGGCAGAGTGACCCTACCTCTCAGTTACTAAAGTTAATGGGGCCTTTGAAACCATTAACATGTCCATGTTCTTTCACTCCAAAAGCTTTACATTGCCTGGTTGTGCTATATGTCACATCTTTGCATCACTTTTCATAAAGAATTCCACATCCATATTGTCTTCCCAAGTGGTATTAGAATTCTTATAAGATAATTTATTCTTGCAACACTAAAGTGGCTCTTTCTAGCCATGTTGCATGTCACAATGATTTATTTAAAGGAAAAATTCACAGCCTGATCACATGTTGAATTCAGAATATGGTCCTAGTGAAAGTCTATACAGATTCTGAGCAGTGTCATTCATGAAGAAATTTCCATTTCATTTAGAATTCTTTGGCAAGTACTGAATTCATTTAAGCAGTTCAAAAAAAGAGAGAGATCCATCATTTTACAGCTTGTAAAGTAAGAAGAAAATTATGTAAGCCAGAGAAAAATATAGCACAAGGTTGAAATATAATGACTGTGACTAATGTTAATCTGCCACTCTTCCTTTCTAAAATTATAGAAACATGGACTGTAGTTAATAGACAACTGATCCATCATTTTTCAGCTTGTAAAGTAAGAGGAAAATTATGTAAGCCAGAGAAAAATATAGCACAAGGTTGAAATATAATGACTGTGACTAATGTTAATCTGCCGCTCTTCCTTTCTAAAATTATAGAAACATGGACTGTAGTTAATAGACAACTGGTAATGTTCTTTGCCCTCTGAAAATTTCCATTGGAAGAGTGGAAATAACAATTTGAAGCACTTTAATTAATATAATCAGTTGTGAATGTCAATATACCAAACTTATCAAACTATTCTCAATTTGGCTTGAGTGTTAATGTATTAAATTATTTTCACATGGCATCCATAGACAAACAGAGATCATGAACAAGTTAATCAATATAATCGCTCCTTTCCAAATCACCCAAACTGAATGCTCTCTAACCATTTTCCGTCTGAATCAAGTTAGTAGTTACACTGTTTTGAATAATAGGATTTTATGTTAAATTATGAGTACAAAATTATCAGTACTGTTAAGAGAGCCAATACTATCACTATCACCATTTTTTTCACACCATGTCAGAGCATTTTCAAACTGATGGAATAAAAGGGAAGAAAAATCACATCTTTGCAATGGGGTTTTGTTTCCAGAAATTAAATGCAACCAGCTCATCTGAAGGAAGTACAGTTGATGTTGCTCCACCTCGAGAAGGTGAACAAGCTGAAATTGAACCCGAGGAGGACCTTAAACCAGAAGCTTGTTTTACTGAAGGTAAACAAGCTCTAATATGGTTAAATGCCATCTCCCCTCTTTCCTTACAGAAACTAAATATACCTCACTTGAACGAAATATTTCAAAGAAATAGTGAAGGCATATTTATCTTTGTTTTGCTCTTTTCTTCCAAAAAGTTCATTTATCTGTATTTCCTGATTATACTATAGCAGTTACTGTACCTGGACAATAAGGTAATTTGACATGTCCTTTTTTTCATTCCCCAGAATGTGGAGAAGTGAACCCTAGGAGATAAATGGTATTCTGGAACATCTTCTCATTATTGATAAAGCAATCCCTTCAGACTTCACTGGCAATGTTGTGATTTGATTTATAGATGCTACAATAACTATACCTCATCTCTTACAGTTTCAAATGTGGTTAATTTGTGCTGTGACCAGAGCTGTTGGGGGATATAGATGCATTGCAGAGCCTTGGCAGGGAGACCAAGTTATTCTCACAGCCACCAGTGTCCAGCACACAAATCAATAAAGATTTGCTGATTCAATGTGATTGGACTGAATCCCATAAGTAGTAACTCAAGACAGTTTAGAGCCTAAGAGTGGATGGAAGTTAGAAATAACATGCAGGCTAAGAGGGGGAGGACAAAGGAAGAGAGATACTGACTGACAGGATGAGTCATAGGTGTGACTAAGAAAAGCTCTGAGGTTGAAAATAAATAGCTTGGAAAAACTGACAGAGGATGATACCCAGGAAGACAGAGGGATTTTCCGTGTGAAAAGAAGTGAGTAAAAATCCAGGATCACATCAAAAAATGAATAAACAATTTGAACATGTAGTTTTTCCCCAAACCTCAGCGGTGTCCTTATCTATGATTGGCCTTGAGGCAAAGAGAGATGCTATGCAGTGTTCAAGAATGGAACTGTTTATACTCAAGTAACTCTTGGTAAAGTAATTCCTTGAATTCTAGGTAGCTGGCTGATATGCAAGTCTGAGAATGATTCACCACACAGGAGGGATGCTGAAAATAACTATGGAATTAAGTAGCCAGTTACTATATAAAATGATGATATGAGACTAGGATGGGGGGGAGCAGCAAAGTTAATTTCTTCCTACAGAAGACAGTAATATATTTTTCTAATTTATTACAATGTATGCTATCTTTTAGGATGTATTAAAAAGTTTCCATTCTGTCAAGTAAGTATAGAAGAAGGCAAAGGAAAAATCTGGTGGAACCTTCGGAAAACCTGCTACAGCATCGTTGAACACAACTGGTTTGAGACTTTCATTGTCTTCATGATCCTTCTCAGTAGTGGTGCTTTGGTGAGTATGATACATATTGGCAAGAGTCAGGTTCCAGTGAAACAGCTTTACTCGAAAAATACCAGAAGCATACCCTTAGTTTAAGGAGCAAAACAAGAGGTATATCTACACCTTGCAGAGCTTGGCACCCAGGGTTTAACTATACAAAATTCAGTAAGGAATAAATCAGAACCATGAACAGCCAGATGGAATTTCTCATCTGGTGTTTTTCTAACAGACGTTTTCCTCACTGAGACAACCATTTACAGGGATGTTCTGTAACTACATTACCTACCATCTCAAATCCCATCCAGTTCTCCCTAACAGTCATAGTAACATTATGGACCAATGGTGGATTTTTTTATGTCTAATTATTCTCTCAAAATGAACCAGATTATTCAGAGCATCAGCGAAAGTAAGGTCAGAATAGGCCAAGTCTATCCCTCATTAACAGAACTTCTAGTTATTTTCTGAGTTTACATTGCTTCTCTAAAAGCATGTCTTTGTAGTAGTAATTGAGATAGAGATTATAGGGTGAGAGGCAGGGAAGAAAGCGTATACTGAATCAGTAAAGATATTGACATTTCCTTGCCAATATTTTCCATTAGCTTCAGTGTTTAGATTTTGTTTGGTTCCATGTCAATCTAATATTAGCCAATATTTATCAAATTAGTGCTTTGTGCCAAGTATACTACTTGTAATTTTATCAAGTATTTGGTGCAGACAAGCCATTCAAGTAAAATAAAAGCATTCTTGATTCACAGGCTTTTGAAGACATATACATTGAACAGCGAAAGACTATTAAAACCATGCTAGAATATGCCGACAAGGTCTTCACTTACATATTCATCCTGGAAATGCTTCTCAAATGGGTAGCTTATGGATTTCAGACATATTTCACTAATGCCTGGTGCTGGCTAGATTTCTTGATCGTCGATGTAAGTATCCCAAGTGATTTTTAAAAAATTATTTTTAAAAAGGCAAGTTTGACATTTATTTCTATAATTAAAACCTTGACTTTAATTAGAACCTAGTTGCACTGATTCTGCCACAATTATGCAACTACCATTCAAAAACTACAATAAATACAAAAATGAGGAAAGTCTTATGGGAAAGCAGTAGAAGAGGTCCTAACAATGTGGACAGGGGTAAGAGAAAACACAGACAGAGTTGTTCTATACCACAAGCAGACAGCTCTTCTTTTTGTGAAAGTTAAGGGTCTCAAGGTAAGGAATATCTAACAATCTGTGAATTGATAGGTATAGCTCATTAAAAGCTCAATTGAAAAAAGTTTCTCTAGGTGGTAAAATCAAGACAGCTTTGGGGCCAGGAAACTGTCAGGATTGCATTTTAATCCCTTACTAGAATGCATGTTGCTGAATAATGGTTTAATAAATAGGTTAAATAGGTTTAATAAATAGGTTAAATAGGTTTAATAAATAGGTTAAAATAACCTATTTACAATATTCATTCAGCCACAAGCCCACAGAGACAATAAAATGTATTTCCATTCTTACATAGGTACTTAGATATCCCAGTAGCTAATGGAATATTTACCAGGCAAAGAGTTAGGTGTAGAAGTCCTGTTCTGAATCGGATTACCATGAAGTGAGTAGTCGTGGGAACTGTATCAATAATGAGACCTGTCTGATTGCAGCCTACTTTCTTACTGTAGCAATGGAGATGCATTGGGGCAAAATTACAGTCAGCTGGTCTTTTGTAGTCTGTGATATTCCACTGCACAAGGCTTCTCAGTCTCCCTCCTGACCCCCAAAAAGGTGCTTTAAGCACTATCTCTAGCTGTTTCCCAATGATCATAAAGCACCTTATTTTTAGCTCTAACACTTGTCACTGTGAATCAGTGATTGCTGTATCTGTTTATTCATTCTTTTTATCATCTTTGGCAAGTGTGGGTTTATCTAAATGCTACTCCCCTTGCTCCCCACATATACACTCACAGTTCTATAACCAAAATGTGTGTTCAACCCTTTGAGTTGAGAAGAAATCTGCAGTCAAGTCACTATTAATAAATCAGAAATGACTTCCAATTTTTCATGTCTGGTCTTTAATGAATAAGAGAGAAGAATCTCAGTGTTGTCCTGAAAAGTTTCCAAACAGGGAAGTTTAATATTTTTGTATTTTGCAGCTGGAATGGACCTTAAAGAGTATCTAGACTTTATTTACATAGTTTTCTAAACAGTGTATTGTAAATCAAAGCCTCAGTTTACAGAATTCTCCTAAAATAGCACAACTACTTAGAAACAAAGTTGAGATTAGTGCCTTAATTTCCTAATTCTCAATTCAGCGCTTTGCCCTGTAGATTTCTCATCTAACTAGTACAAATGTTATATTTATATCTTAATACTGGCTTTGGAACTCAGCATTTATAATCTCCAGCTTTCCCCTGAAATGATGGAACACAAAATATACAAGAATCTTCTCCAGTTCCAAAAAAAAAAAAGTATGAAGATCACTTACAAATGTGACAGAACTTCTCCAGAAAATACTCAAATTTCCTGAAATATTTCCATTTACTGAAAAATTTATATTCACTGAAATACTCATTACACTGTACTTTATTTCCATGTATTTCTCTCATATGGAAAGAGTAAATATAATGCAAAAATCTATCAAAGTCTTGTATCATATTTGAATCCTTAGAAACCTAATATAGACACTTAATTATCTAGTGAATAATGTCAAAGAATGGTGCCCCCCAAGTTACTTCCCTTTTAGTACATTTAAATTATTAATAGTAGAATGGAACTGGGTACCTCTGGGTAACTTATGTTAGAGTAAATGAATCTATTTTCTTCTTTTTCCTGAAGAAGGGACTAAAATGCATGAATTAATGTAACCTCAACTAATAACTTAATCTCAGACCACTGGATCCAGTAAGCTAAAGTAAATGTAGAGTTAAAATAGTTTTTGAAAGTACAAGTAAAACATGCTTAGAACAATTCACAGTCCATCAGGTATAATGCTCTAACGGTCACAGAAGGCTCAACAGGAAACAAAGCAAAACTCCCAAAACTGAAGTATATGTGAAGTAACTTCAAACTAGAACAAACAGGCTTTTAAACTTTGAGAAATTTATCTATGTACAAATGTAATCTCTTCAATTCCCTACCTCCAAGTAAAGGTAGAATGCATTCATTAACATTCCATTAACATTCATTCATTTATCTAATAAAAATTCTGAATACTGGTCCACAAGCTATCTTAAATAAAGGAGATACGAATAAGACAAATCAAGCTCTATTAGATCTACAGGATTTAACATTCTAGAAGAAAGTGAAATAGACAGTAAAGATGTAAACAAATAAAATCCAAAAATAAGATAAAAGCAGATGATGATCACTGCTATAAAAGAAAACAGGGTAATGAGATAGAGAAGGACTACAGAATGGGAGCTGGAGGAGAATATTAGCCAGTGTGTCTATGGAAGGTGTCTTTTGGGAAGATAAATAAGAAAGAGTGTCTTAGTCCATTTGGTCTGCTGTAACAGAGTATCATGGCTTCCCTGGTAGTGCAGTAGTAAGAATCTGCCTGAAATCCAGGAGACATAGTTTTGATCCCTGGGTTGGGAAGATCCCCTGAAGTAGGAAATGGCAATCCACTCCAGGATTCTTGCTTGGAAAATTCCATGGACAAAGAAGCCTGATGGGTTACAGTTCATGGGGTCACAAAGTGTTGGACATGACTGAGCACACATATGCGCTCAACAGAATATCATAGATGTAGTGACTTACAAACAGCAGAATTATTTCTCATCATTCTGGAGGCTGCAAAGCCCCAGAAAAAAAGCACCAGCAAATGCGGTGTCTGGTGATAGCTCACTTTGTGATTCATAGGCAGCAGTCTTCTCACTGTGTCTTCACATGGAGGAAGGAGCAAACACGCTCTCTGGGGTGTCTTTTATAAGTAGAGGGACTCATCCCACCCATGAGGGCTCTGCCTTCATGACCTAATCACCTCCAAAGACTCTCCAAATACCTTCACATTAGGTTTCAACATATGCATTTGGGGGGGACATGGACATTGTGTATAACAATGGGCCAGTCATTTGAATACCTGAGGGAACAGAAAAAAGCAATCTCAAGATCCTGAAGTATGAGCCAAGGACACTCAAGAGACAGAAAAACTGTTGTGCTTGTGTGTGATGAAACACAGGCAATAGTAATAGATGCTGAATTCAGAAAGGTACCTAAGGGTCATGGTAAGAAGTTCATGTTCTACTGTTATTTAATGTGTGCTTGGTCACTTAGTCGTGTCTGACTCTTTGCAGCACCATGAATTGTAGCCCGCCGGCTCCTCTGCTCATGGAATTTTTCAGGCAAGAATACTGAAGCAGGTTGCCTTTTCCTACTCCAGGGGATCTTCCCAGCCCAGGGATCAAACCTGTGTCTTTTGTGTCTCCTTCCTGGCAGGTGGATTCTTTACCACTGTGCCACCTGTGAAGCTCCAATACTACATCATAGCCAAAAGGCTGAGAATGTAATTTAATGTATACTGATTATAGTTACAATGGGAAACTCAAGGGAGGGATGGTGAGCATGGATCTGTTCTACTGTTCTTAAATGACAACACCTGGCTATGAAGAAGGAACAGCGAAAAAGTCAAACCAGGGAGACCAATGAGGGAACTGTGTTAATGGTCTAGGAAAGAAGATTATGTCTTAGAATAAGGTGGTTAAGACTTACTGGTGAACTGGATGTTAGTATGAAGAAAAAGGAAATTCGAAAAAGATTTTTTTCAATCTTAACAGATGGGTGGAAGATGAAACCATTAACTGGAATCAGGAAGATCAGAAAACAGGCTTGACAGGGCAAGCAGATGGTAGACGGAAGAGGGATGCACTAAGTTTGAGATGCCAATTAGACATTCAAGAGTATATGGTGAGGTTTACACAAGTTGGGTTCTGAAGAGAAGTTAACACCTGATTATGAATTGAGAAGTCATCAGGAAATAGATGGTTTTTGAAGTCATGAATCAACTGGATTAGCTCACCGAGGCAGAGAATGCAACAAGACAAACACAAGAGTCCAGACCAAACTCTAGGGACACTTCAACTTTTGGAAGTTACACAAAAAAACAAGGAACCAGTAAACTAGATTGAGAAGTAGCAATTAGAAGAAAAAGGAAAATAGAATATACATGGTATCATAGAAGTCCAGAGGATCAATTTAGTCAGAGGCGGTGAGGAAGGCAAGTGACATGAGTACTGAGAAATGACATTAGATTTGGCAGAATGGACGTCATTGGTGTCATGGTTAAGAGATGTCTCATGGAAGTGATGGGAATAAAGTACTAGAAACATTGGGAAAATTGAGGAAAGAATGGAGGCGAGGAGACAGAAACAGCAAGTATGATAATTCTGGTTGGAATCAAGTCGGACAACTTAAACCATTGTCTTTCTTTGCCAGAATGCCATACTCGATGGACCACTTTTTCTGATTCTGTATAACTTTTTTTTTATTCTGTATAAATTTTTTCTCCTATCCAGAGGCCAAAAGATACTATCTTCATATGAAAACCAAACTATCCTGTATTGTAACTATGCAAGCTATATTTTAGATGCTATTATTATCCACAGAATGAACTGAATATGTATTAAATTGATCGTAGTTTATGGGGGGGGAAATCACATTTTTATACTCCTTACAGATTATTGCATAAATTTCATCCCTAAGAATATATACTGGGCATCTATCGTGACAACGTCAAATTTGGTTCTAAATTATTCTAAGCTGTTAAGTGTCCAAAACACACTCCAGGTAAAGATTCGACTATCATAAAATATTAATTGCCCACAAGTGATTTCCACTTTACAGACAGCACAGGTTGCTGATGTGGCTGAAACGGATGCTTGGTATCTGCTACTCAGACATCCTGCTTGCTCAAGTGCTCCTTAGAATCCTCATCAGCTGCTCTGATG